GACAAAATAGATATTTATGAATAAATAATTTTTGAAAAAACAATTTGCGATAGTTTTTGAACAGACTTCGTATATGAAGTGTATATGAATTTACATTACAACTGTTTCAGTCGTTTTACTTTAGAAACTGTTCAGGAAATGCCTATTCTGCAATATTTGTTACACTTTACAACAACCCTACTTAATTTAAAAGGAAAATAAAAAAATGCTAATTGAATAAATGTGCAGCAGAAGAACTAGGGATATAAATATAACGATTGTAAATTTCTTTGATTCTACTGAATTTTATTGAAAAGCGACTTTATGTGTAAACTCCAATATATTATTACTAGAATATCGTATATTAGTTGNTGACATTCTTTAGAGTAAATATTTTATTTGTTGCAGTTTCTAGCGACAATAGCTATTTATCTTATAATCCTATTGCAATTCAAAGTTAGTCTGTTATCACAACGTGGAGGTTGATTTGGTAGAAATAACAAATGCAACAATAATAAAGAGTTGAAATAGAAACATAATAGATTTAATTGCTCTGCTACTGTTCATTATTATTACCAGAAACGGAAAAAATTACTGTGGGTAAATAAATCAATCTTTACTTTACTGTTCGTAAATGTGACATACCTACCGAAGATTGAAAATATTTATATTACGATATCCTGCTAACAAGATATCGTATGTAGAAAATCATATGTAGTAAAAAAATGCAGACGTTTTTCAAATAATATAAAATAACTTTAATACTTCCGCATCACGCTGGGCCGATTTTGTTCAAAACCTTATCAGTTTTAAGTTACGTGATTATGTGTCGAATGCAATTGGTCCCACGTTCGTTATCGAGATAATCGCACATACGCACATACACACATCCACCTGAAAACTGTAGCATCCGACTCCAAGGACTTTGAAACGTCGATTCACAAAATCGGAAAGATTTAGCTACTAAACGATGTTTTGTGAATTTGTTATTTTCCACATTATATTACATTTTGTTTTTGTACAGCAACTTAAATGATGTAGGCATATGGATTCACCAGCGAGGTAATCGACCACGGTTTTACATTTACATTTAAGGAAATGGGTTTGCTGGTTGATTTTGCGTATTCCATGGGTTTACTATTCACAATTTGCGATTGTTCTCATAAAGCATCCGAATACATTGCCAAACGTGTACAAACGACATTATTAAATATTCGATTATCTAAAGTTGATGTCACTACTTCAGAAGAGGTACTTATGATAATAATTAATCAGTTTATAATGCATGTTATTAGACAAAAATTACTCGACATCATAAAAAAATCAAAATCGAAAATAATTGGTTTTCAGTAATTTTTATCATGAAAAGAACATACAAATTTCATCTAATTAAATTGTCAATTTTATTTTTATTTTACTATTAGTTCAAACTAAGCAGGTATTATCGAAATGAGAATCTTGATTGTTTTGTGTAGCAATTTTTTTTTAATTTTTAAATACGACTTAACTATAGATAAAACAAATAAAGGTTTAATTTATCATTTTTTAGATCCAAATATTTCTTATGGCTATACAAATGAATCCACCGAAAGTATCATTGAAAGGTTACACCGTCCTCAACAGAGAATTATTAACTACGGTAATAATGACAATCAATTTTATTATTGACATTCTTTAGAGTAAATATTTTATTTGTTGCAGTTTCTAGCGACAATAGCTATTTATCTTATAATCCTATTGCAATTCAAAGTTAGTCTGTTATCACAACGTGGAGGTTGATTTGGTAGAAATAACAAATGCAACAATAATAAAGAGTTGAAATAGAGCTGTAGCTGCAAATTTACCTTAGAATAATATTATTTTCCTATGAACAGAAATCAGCAAGACCTTGTTGTTACTAGATAGTTTAAAACGTGAACCAAATTAATCAGCGCTGCTTTTTTCCAGTATAAAATAAGCCTTAGAATTCAAGTCTATAATGCCAAACTAAGTATGTTACAATAAATCATCAATTAATTAAATAATTAAGAAACCATCTAGCTCTACCACAAAGGTTTGTACACTCATATTTTAAAAGAGTATGCATACGTTACCGGAAATGTAATTTCTAGGAATTGTATACAATTCCGAGGCTATTTAGGAAATGTATGAAATATTGTTTCAAAGATTTTTCAATACACACATATCCTGAGAAATATATACATTTCCTAGGAATTGTATGAAATTCTGATATTGTAGTAGGAAATGTATAAAACTAATGCTTTCTGTCAATAAAATACTGTAACATATCAGGTCGCCTTCGGCGGGTAAAGACATTAATTAAATTCCAATTTGTCCTAAATCTACCTTACCAAACAATGACGTCACCAATGCATTTCAGTATGCTGAAGAGATGAATATACTGATCATTTTGATATATATATATATATATACATGTTGGACGGGGAAATGACAATGAAGCATTGTTAACTCCATAGGAGTCAATAAAAAAATAGGCGGGTAGGTTGGAAGGACACCTTCTCATGCATGAAGGTATATTAGACATATTAGTGGCAAAAACGGAAGTCAGGAGGGGTAGAGGTAGACCTAGATTAGATTACTGTTCGCAAATAGTGAAGGATGTGGGTTGTTCTAGTTTTAGGGAAATGCGAAGATTAGCTCAGGATAGGAAAGAGCGGAGGTACGTGTCCAATCAGTCTTAAGACTGACGACCTTATGATGATGATGATGATGACATAAAACAGGCAATAATACGGCAGGCTGCTTAGGGACGTAATGCATTGGTGACGTCATTGTTTGATTGGTTGAAGTGTAATCAATGTCCCTGCTCGCCGGAGTCGGGCTGATATGTTAGAGTATTTTATTGACAGAAAGCATTAGTTTTATAATTTTCTAAATAGCCTCGGAATTGTATACATTTCCTAGATTTCATACATTTCTGGTAACACATTCTAACCATCCGCGTTTGGCAATTAAGATGTTGCTTTTATATTTTGCGTCTATCTGACCACAAGCTGGCCGAATTTTTAATTTATTTTTGAGGGGTACAAAACCTTTCCGGTCGAATTTACCACTGTAATTAACAAAAACCCATTAAACCGGCCGAATTTACAATTGCCGGTTTAGACAGGATTGACCAAGTTCAGGCGCAGGCCCGCGAACCACATTTGTGGCCAGTTTAAAAATTCACCCTAATTTGGAAGAGAAGCTTAAAATACCACCATAATTGTAAACTATTATGAAACTAAAATTATTAGCTTATTACAGTTGTATAAGAGCAAATTCTAAGATTTTGAATGAACAAAACTAAATTTACAAATTTTTGTTAATCCCTTGATCAACTTGATTGAAATATCCTGTTAATATTCAGTTGGAAATCGGTGAATTGCAAAATCATTCTGTACCAAAAAAAAAAACGTTTTTTCATAAAAAATATCTTTAGTCACAAACTTCTTCAAAGTTTTTCGAATCTTAATTTTGTAAATAACAAAGATCACGTATTGATTTGCAATTAGTGTCAATATCTAAAATGACACCATCCATATTAAAATTATTTACATATTTGGTAGTAGGAAGATACTATTTATTTTATTTTAGTAAACGACAGTTTGTTGTTTAATTTGTTGTCGATTGTTTTTGCACAATACAAGACTTTAAAAAGCTTAGATAATAATGAGCCGTCAGTGTTTTTTAAATTGTCAATTTCGCCCTTAAGATTGGACAAGCCTGATATAAAGTTTCGAAATTTAAAATGCACTGAAACCACTTAATTTTATAAAACACAAAAAAAATGTACAGCATTAAACAATTACGTCATATTTAATATGATAATAATCTATTTATGTATCTAATATCTATCTATTTACCTACATGTAGCTGTGTCGTAATCAATTAGTTTGTTACGATGATTTCCGACAGACGAAAAATATTTTATTTATTAGACATCAATGTAGCTAAGTAAATATTAAGGGTAATTTTCAGATAAGTAAAATGTGTACAAGTTAATAAAATTAAGGGTAAAGTATATTCTTTCTAATATATTATTACTAGAATATCGTATATTAGTTGGTTATACTCACCAGCATTCACATTCACGGAACGACACGACTAGACTGAAAAGGTCACATAGAGAATAGCAGAACAGCTTTCTTATCTCTATATGTTTTTTGCTCCATTTTTTGTCTAACGTTATAACTAGATGAGATCCGTTAGAATAAAAACACTTTAATTTCAAAAAGAATAATAAGGGGCCTGCTAATAAAATTATTGTACGAAAAAGATACAATAGTAATTAGCACCTTATGTAACTGAGATTAAAAGTACCAAATTTTAAAATTTTAAGTTATAGAAGACAATTCTTTTTGTGCATGCTAAGTTAGTAGATTTTAATTTAAGTGA